CATTAAACTGTAATATTATTGTAAACCATTAAACTGTAATATTATTAACATTAAGCCATTAAACTGTAATATTATTAACACATAACATAAAACATGTACATATCAAATTATTATGTTTAATCTTTCTTTGTCAATGCTTGCATAAAACGTGATTTGGATCTAACATGATGATATTCATAAACAATCGAAATTCTCTGTAAACATTTAATGCTAAACATTTACAGAATGGACTTCCTTATGTTGTGGTCATATTAGACTGTAATATTATTATTAAAGAAGTTCATTCAACAAACAACATAAAGCATATACATATCAAATTTATTGGGTTAAAGTTCTCATGTCAGGGCATGCATAAAACGATTTCCTAATATTTTTATATCTGAGATTGGCAGACAAAATTCTATATAGTATATACTATATACTAATTTAACGAGTGGAATTCCTTGATTTAAGAAAATATATAATAATGTATATTGAGGTACGCAAAGTTTAGTAGGTTAGAAGTTTAAAAGAGAGGATTTCCTTATTTTGTGGTCATGTTAGGCTAATAATATAAAAAACCATTCAACATAAAACATATCAAAATTATTAAGTTAAACTTTCTACTTCAGTGCATGAATATAACGTAATTTTGGGATATATGAGATTTACATAACATTTGAGAATGTACTGAATATAAAATCTTAAATATTTTACATTTTAATCAGCAGTCTATCAGAAATACTGGGATTGGTTATACTGTAAATCCTTCAGAACAACCCCTGCAATACTAAAACTGGGATGCAACAGGCAGTGAATATTTCATTTTGATTTAGTGTAGATGTTTTTTACATATTTTAAATTTTATTTGAATTCTTTTTTATTTTGTATGGTCCATATGTTATATTTTCCCCATACAGATAAATGAATACCTGAACTGATATTTTATGGGTTTCAGATTATTATACAAAGCAGATATCATAAATCATCATTGTCCGACTGTGTGCATTGAACATTCCCAACCGTAACTTAGGCTACCGGCCTCGCTTGACACTTCACAACAAAGGGCATGTTAATTAATCTTGCACAGCTTCCTCCTCCTCAACACCATCATCTTCTTCATCATCATAATTATTAATTGTCCATAGCAAAGTAGTGAAATAATATGAATTCAGGGTGTATTAAATAATAGACGTCGCATAATGCACGAAGTGTATTTCAAAGAATCTAGAAAACAAAAACTTTTCGAATACCTAAAATTTATCTTCCAGCGACAAAACAAGCTAAGCTCTCTTCTCATGACCATCCCAATATGGGAAGCCATCTGTGCGAGCCAGGATAAACTCTGGACCCGCGCTTGACATGTATTTAATGCTTTAAAAAGGTATATTTACAGTATATTTATTTATAGAAAATAATGTTGCATACTAGCACTATCAGGAATAAATATACAGATAAAGGCTCCCGAGTGGGCATAGACACAAAACCGCTTATAATTATTCAAATAGCACGCATCATATCTGGCACTTTAGCAGCGTATACACGCGGCTCATTCGCTGTAACAGTGAAGCGGCTTTATTAAAAACTATTTTCTCCATGATAAAACGTCTCTTTGTTGTTTTTTTTTTTTTTTCAATTTCCAGACGGCTTCGCGGCCCTCTAAAAATGTTTCGCGGCCAAATTTGGGCCGCGGACCATAGTTTGCGGAACGTCGATCTTGAGGTACTGTTTCCTCAAATTTTCTCACCTCAGCTCCAACCATGGTGGGTCTGAGGTGCGTGTTGACTCACAAAATGTCCTCCCCCACCACCTTTCAAAACAGATCTGTGCCCTTCCCTGGGTATGACATTAAACTCTATCGAATCGGCTCCTGATGTTTTTAGGATGTCGATCTTGTTTTTCATGTCAATTTTTCGTGATTATGACTATTCTGGATAAAGAATGTTTTGAGCAGAGGATTCAAGGCCCGTCACCCTCTCCCTTCATTATTTTTAAGAAAAAAAAAAGAAAAATACATTCAAATTTAAGTGTGAGAGTGTAATTTCCGGCCATCTAGAGATGCCTTAATCCTAAATTTTTTAACCTCAACCCCAACCACGGTGGTGCTGAGGTGGGTGGTTCCTCGGTCTGTGAAAGTCCCTCCCTGGTTCACCTCTCTTTCGAATTCCTGGATCAGGTTGTTGATTTATTATATAATTATTGTTGCACTTATTTATAATACAATTTATATTGCAATTTTCACTTTATCCTCTCAAAACAGTCCTAAGAACGTTTAGATTGCGTTTATTTGAATGTTTGTAAATAAACTAACAATAAACTAAAATTTTCGTGTCGAGCGAGTCGTTCTTGTCTAGTCTTGTCTTGATTGCTTGTGGTCAGTTCGTACGTTTGTATGATACACTAAACAATTCGTGTCGAGAGAGTTGTTACAGTTTAGTTTTTTCTTGATTGCTTGTCGTCGGATACTACTAATACATTTAAAACATATTTTAAAGGGAATTCTTTTGTCGTCTGAAGTTCTCATTAACATTGTCAAATTTTACCTTTAGGGTCGGACAGTATTTTTATTATGGAACTGTTTTCACCCTCTTCATTGTTTTATGTTCCCCATGGCAACCCTTTCACCAGGATTTTTAAAGAATGGTGAAATTTCAGAAAATGTCCTCAAAATTTTAAGGGTGGTGCACAAAATTCTAAAGGGTGGATAAAACAATTGCTATTTTAGTGCATAGTAAGTGACACGCTAAGTCTGTTTATTGACCTTGCATTTGCATTAATAGTTTTTTGAAGCGTGGTTAAAATATTTTAAGCATGGCGTATAATTTGCCTTTTTAATGTTTTTATTTAAATTATGTTGTTTCTGTGAGTATACTACGTGAAAAGATATTTTTATCTGCCATTAAAGATCCTAGTTAATCGTTTATCATATTATTAATTTATTTATATATATTCTTGTTATAATAATGATTTACTATAAATATTGTTTAACATTTACGGAAATAAATTTTGTTTAATGAATGAATAATTATTCAAATCCACTTACACAATTATTATTTTTAATGATGTCTACCACATACTTCTTCTTCAATTATATACAGATACTAAATAAAAGCTACTTAAAGTATGTTTATTCAGTTTGTTTTCAACGTAGTACTATCAGATTGTTTTGAAAGCTTAATGCGGTCACTATAACAATATTCGAATTTCACAAATTTCGACTTCTGGAGGAATTCAAAATCCACCCACTCCTGTGTTGGAACCCATTATTATGTCTTT